CAATAATTCCGGCTCTTATCGTGTTCTTCAACTTGCCGAACACTTTTAATTGCAACAATTTTGTGAACAGATCCAGTACTAGATATTATGACTTGTAGCAAACATGATCAGATTCATCTTGATTCTTGACTCAAGAAGTGAATGCACATTGGCATCTTTACTTCTCTCCTCTGCAATTGGATTCTAAACTGAATCGATAGCCGAACCACAGTTGCTAGTTAGCTAAGAATCCAATTGCACGGGAAATATGTAAAGACATTGAGGGGAATTATCACTTTCCACACAATCAAGTCAAGAAAACGAAATCAACCACGTTTAATAGGTCAAGTTGCCATATGTTTACAAAACCATTGATTCTGGATTCATTCATACTCAAAACTAAGCTCCATTACTCAACTTAACCCATTCGAACAACGACGCCAATTAAGCCAACCTCTTCCCTTTTGCATTCCCAGATGCACCACATTTTTGTTTACGGATAGTCATGTTCACAGCAATATGGAGCTCTTCGTCATCATTTAACAGCACTTGAGATTGGAACGTGCGGGTCATATCTTCAATTGCTTCCATTACCATTGGGGTAGTCGAGGTAGCACTAACGCTACTACATTCACCTCGTGCTTGACCTTCTTCGTACCATACCCAAAATCCACATTTCTGACTGCAACACTTGAATAATCTGCCTTTGTTACAAGTTTCTTTCTCCACCTCAAAGCACTTTTGATATCCATGCTCACACAACGGACAGCGCACTTTGATAGGGCATTCGGCAAATAAGTGTGCCTTGCTTCTACAACTATGGCACACACCCGAATTCTTCCCTGGCATTCTACTATACAAATCAACCTGCCATCACCAATCAATTGGCAATATGAATTACATTACATAAATAATGTATAAATTACAAAAGACACACCGCCACGACATAACAATAGGCCCAACCTCTTTGAACATTATAAACAACTACATGCAGGGAATATTGGATTTTTTGCTTCACACTTGCTCTTCCTATTTGAAGAAAACTAATTTACATTCCATAACAGGACTCTGACAAGTCTAGATTTTCAAGAACGTTATCCATCAGACGAGGCACAGCACGATTACATTAACAATAACGACAGAGCACTGGGTATAATGCAATCACATTTCTCCCTTCCTATTTTTGTTTGCTATTTGTCTTTCATGCCAATCAATTAGCACTTTTTTAGAAGAACCATGTAAATGACAACAGGAAGATGAAATTAAACTACTACCTGAATGAGAGTAGTTGGTCGTCACCGAACTCGTTCAACAACAGAGACAGTTCAGGGGATCGTAAACTTGTTCGATGCCTTTCAAAGACTGGGAAAGTGCTTGGGGATTATAGGACAGAAACGAGTCTAAAGCCTGCAGCCTGTGAGAAAGAACACAGTGATGGTGGCAACTTCGGCTACATCGAGGTTGTTCAACGCCGGCTTCTAAGATGCACTCTTCTGGGAGAAGACAACCTCATGACCACAAAATGTTGATGGGCTACCGGAGATGGAGGCGAATCAGCTGATGCTCACTTGTGGATGTGAAGTGAAGAGGCGAGACGATCGAGCTTGGTCTGGTGCAGTATCCACAGTGCTTGGTGTATAGGGTTTCAAATTGGGGATTATAGGAGAGAAAGTGAAAGACAACGCTGAATTATTGACTGATTTTTGGTCATTTTTTCGTTCTTTTTCTGGGAGTTTACTCACTTTCCACGCAAGCCTGTAAAACACTTGTAGGATCGACCCTGTACACCAAGCACGGTCCAATTTGTTATATTCCTTCTTCAAATTTACCAAATGGATTACCATTGTTACTTGATTCGAGGGAATCTTTTCAACCCAAGAAAATTATACACGATATATTTAAACCCTATTTGATTGTTAAGCCTCATTTTTGGGAAAAAAATGAATTTTTGAATAGTGTATTGATGAGAAATATGTGGTTAAAAAATAAGGAAAAATTTTATATTTGCGTGTAATATCATTTTATTGAAAATATGTGATTAAAATGATATCAAAATACTGTCGACAAATGCATTTTTCAAAAGAATGTTGCTCAAATAAGGGCTAAAAGTCAATTTTTTTATTTTTATTTTTTGGTAGATTCTAATAAAAAGTTCATTACATATATCGTTGAAAAATTAATAAAAGCTGTGGGTCCTATAAAATTTGTGATTGAAAATAAATTTATAGAAAAATGAATTTTAAGAAATTGGGGGGGGGGGGGGGGGTGGGCAAAA